ATAATAACTGTTTCGCCACAGACTATTATGTGCGTGACATTGGCAGTATGAACGCAAACAAACGACAGAGTTTTAAGCGTTTGACATTGGACGTACCAATGAATGTTTTATTTTTTTAAATTTAATGTATTTATGACACATAGTATTGTATATAAATTTTATCTTTCTGCACTTTAATTTTTGTTCATGTAAACTTTAACCATGCCGAATCTCACACTCTTCCATGCGCGCAATATGCTCAAATATTTTGTACCCCAAGTTTTCCTGCAGGGATTTTGTTTGAAATTTTCATACTGACCTCTCCTCAGCTCAAATGCACCCGATTTTTCCGCGGCTTTTCTAGCGTTGACTTCTAAATTCGCCAAACAGAAACCAATTTCTCGTTGTCGAGATGCAATTATTTAACTTTTATGAAACAAAATTTACAGACTTGAAATTGAATGTATAATAATAAAAAATAAATAATGATAAAATATTTACAAAACGCTATTCGAAATACATAAATCATTATTTTTTATTTATTTTGTTTCACATATTACAGAAACAATGTTTTAAAATTGCTGTCTCCAACCATATCCTAATACAAAAATCTGAAAAAATTTCCATTATAGATAATAAGGTATAAATTGCATTAAAATTGTCTAGAATTGTTTTATGTACTGTTTACTCTTTTGATTTATTTATTTTGGTACAATAATGTGTATTTTACCATTGTTTTTCTTAATTAACAGTACCTTCACCGACGGGCACGTGATCGTTTCGATAGCAATTTTATGTGCTTATTATGATAGTTTTAAGTAAAACCATAAGTACATATTTCTTAATAATTCAAATATATATGTATTACAAAATTATATTAAAATAAAAAGTTAAAGTTAAAGTTACAGCCTATATACGCCCCACTGCTGGGCACAGACCCCATCTAATTTCTGGGAGGGTTTTAGACTTGTCCTAAACAAGAAAATGTCCGCCGCGGTGCCCCGAATTGTCGAATGTCACATGTCCCCGAAATATTTCTTTTTCTTATTATCCGACATGCAAGTTTCCTCAAGTTGTTTTCCTTTACCGCTGAGTAGGTGATAAATCGGCACTTAAAATTGCAATTAACAATTTCATTGGTGCCGGGTTTGAAATCTACAGCCAGCGCTTAGCTCAGCTACCACGGCTCTCTATTAAAATATATTGCATTCAATTCACTTTTTTAAAAAAACACGTGAATATGTGATTACAAAAGATACATAGAGAGTTAGATAAAAAGTAGTTTTTTTATAGAAGCGAGTATAAAGGAGCTTGTGGCTCACCTGATATTTCGTAATTACTGCCTGCCGCCGGTTAACAACTGCAACACCAGGGGAATTGCAGGTACTCGTACATTGCTAGCCTCTAAAAAGGCTCTTTCCTTAAAAGTCTCTAATTCGTTAACGTCTGTAAAAAGCTCTGGTGATAACCAATTATACAAAGAAGCAGTGGGAGGAAAAACATTTTTGCTAAATCGCACAGTGATGAACCGCCAAGCACCCAGATAGTGGGGAATTATTCTCAACAATTTCTTTGGGCACTCTCTGTGATAAATGCGATAGAGAATGATTGATGGTACCGTTGTTAAATAATGCGAAAGAAAGCACGTTTTAAACTATAAATTTATTACGGTTTTTCTAATATTCGCAAACAATTATTTACATAAATTAATTTTTATTAGACCATCTCAAATTTCGCATTTTAGACATGGCATGGTTTAAATAATAAAAATCATAATTTTATATGTCATTCATAGAAACAGATGATAGACAATAGCATGTTCTTGATAATAACTGAAAATAATAAACGAAAACTTCGGTCGCCTACTTGTCTACCATGCTTGGCAAAATAGCAAAGTCCTTCCTATGAGTCCCCTGCATTTGTTTTCTTTTCAGGTAATATTAGAACTACAGGCATACTTTTTGTAAGTATTGGTTATATAACTTAGTCACCAAAGCAATGTTTATAGTGGGGGCAATCGAATCACAAGTGCATCCATTTTATTGCTCATTAAGATTATGTTGAACGAGAACATTTTAGCTATTATACTATTATACTTTTTTTGTTCCTCGAATTTGGTTTATACTTTTTATTACATGTTTTTTTACCCTTTTGAGTGGACTATGGTCTGTCATAATTTCAATCTCGTCTAAATAGTTACAATAAAAACTTTGTTCACTATTTTGGCATCCTTATTTTGGAATATTTTATCCAAATTTATATGGGACCACATCTGAAGTATAATCTATTTATAAAAAAAAAAACCATTAAAATAATTTTACACTTGATGAAGATATCGTATATATATAATATACGATATCTTCATCATTGTATAGTATATAGCCAGTCATTGTAAGCCCCCCTTCTTTTTTTGAAGTCTGCTCTGATAAAAGGATGGATGACAGTCTAACAAATTCACGCTGAAATGTGCTCAACTGCGCACGTAGACCTTCTGACTGATTAACGAGATCCCGGCGATTGGTGGTTCTGATGGAACAGTTCAAAACCATTCAACTGGCTTGTAATGGATATAAAATTATATGAATCAAACAGCACTGCTCGGTGATGTGGAGCAGCATCAACAATCGAATATATCGGCTCTGTGCTCACATAATGCTTGATCAGTGATAGAAAAATTAAAAAAAAAGAAACTGATACCTTACACTGGAATAAGAAATGCTGGTAAATAAGAAAAATAAAACAAGGAAGAATTAATGTCTAAACTTAGCAATGTTGTTAGTTGTCTCTAATCCTTACTGAATTTATTTTATGTAAAAATGAAAAAAAAAAACTGTCTGTTTATTATTTGCGTCTCACTGACAAGCCTTCTCTCATGTCTAGTGCTCATGATTGAGAGGGTAAGAAGTTAGGTACTAAAACATATTGCCGTGGTGAAAACCTTCGTCGACCTTATTGCTTATTTTATAATATACAACCTATATCTATTTAATATTTAAAAAGGTAAATGGAATGTTTTGAATCATCTTTCGGGACCTGTTTTGTGTTAGTACTAAGAAGCATGCGTCATCTTGGACCATTGCCCCGTGGTCGTCAAGAAGAAACTGGACTTGTTTACGATTCGTTTATCATTGCCCTAATATGTAGCTGTTCTTTTTTTTCGAAACTTTTTAAAACAGTGTTAATCTTACTCTCGTATATTTGACTTATTTTAAAAATTGTAAAATCGGTTTCACTACTTTGAATTGATTTTTTGAAAGTACAATGTAACTTATTAACGAAATACGAATACAACAATTTTTAATGAATCGCCGTATGCTGGTACCATAAGTATTTAATTAAAATTTAGGGCTGTGCCTGTTAGACATCGTGAAGCGTTTAGCGAGGCGTGCAATGGGGCGGTGCGTGCAGCATAGCAGTGCATTCGGCATACCTTCTGTGTTTTGGTGGCCTGCCCAAACATTACAGTGTCCTGAGAAGTGGCAAGACCATGTGTTTATAATTCACGTTAAGAGTTTTGCGTAGGTTCCTAACCTACCAACAAATGAATTTGATACGGGAGACGTTATCGTTATCAAAAATTAAATACGAACAATAATATAGCCCATAAAAGTCTTTTTTTATAGATTAAGGGTAACAAACGAGCACACAGACCACCTGATGACACCTGTGGCCCATAGACATCTACATCTGTCCTCAATTAAGAATCAAAATGCAGATGTTGTCAGTTCTGTGGCGAAAGATTAAATGCCTCGTATCTAGTAAAAAGGATCTCCAGTTGACCACACCCATCATACGAAACACAGCAGCATTAAGTTCCTATTTTACGCTAGGTTTCTATGAGAGTGTGGTCCTTCCCCGAGTGAGCCGACCCATTCGTGCAAAACCATAATATAGTTGCATATAGTTTGTATATAGTATCATATAGTATGGCTCTATCACGTAGAAAACTGCTGCTGGGAATGAGCCGTTGTAGGGACAAGTTGCCTTAATGGAGACGCTGGCAGGCGGGTTGACAATTGTATTACCAGACGTTTCGCGTCTCTGACGTTGTTGTTCATTGCTGGTCTGAGTATTTTACGTAAGACGTAAACGGGATAGTTATATCGTTCTTGTCAACTTCGTTCTTAGCAACCTATACGATGTTACAACAAAGTCTAAGAAAATATACAAGGTCTTTCTATTACCAAGTTCAAATATTTCATTAAATAAATACTGTATAATAAGAGTTATTATAATATAAGTGATGGTTAATAATAACTCTTGGAATGAGGTGGTCGCTTCTAAGCTGTTTCTAAAATAAAATTTTTAAACAGTTAGTACAATTTTTTATATTGCATAATTTAAAAAAAAGACCCGCTGGGTTTCTTGCTGGTTGTTCCCAGGACACAGTTTTTTTTCCGAACCAGTGGTAAAATAAAAAAAAAATATTTTCAAAAAGAATTAAATATAATATATATTGAATAAAAATATTCTATTCTATTCCATTTTTCTGCATTTCTCCTAGTCACCTTTTACGACACTCGCGCGACGAAACTGGGCGATAGATTCCCATACGCCGCCACACATGGTAAATTACTTTTTCTAAATAATAAATTTTACAAATAAAGAAAAAAGATAAAACGAAAAACGATATATTCTGAAATTTCATATTATAAAAATTAAATAAATTTCTACTCAATTAATCATATTCAGGTATTACTGACAACATTCCTTGGGGGAAGGCCTAACAAAATAATTATATACGATATCAGTTGTAAGAAAAATGCGATGGACTACGGAAAATAAAAATAAAAAGTCCTAACTTTTGATAACTTGTTTCTAAAGAAAATAGAGCGTCGAAATATTTCGATGAATAACACAAGTAAGGAAAAACAGTTTTCTTCGAAAGCACTTTGAGCTTCGCAGTAAAATAAAGTTTAGTTGGGTAAAGGGGCAAGTGGAGGCTTTGCGACGTCGCCACGGACGGCGGGCGGTGAGGCGCGCTCTTTTATAAATGAGGGCTTGCCTCGCGCCGCACACTCAGACAAAGTCGCGGACTGCGGTAGGTCGTGCCAACGGCGCCTCGATCGCAGTCGCTGTTTCCCGCCACGCGACACGCACATTTTCTTTGAAAATTCGCGCAATTGCAAAGAAAAAAAGTGAAAATCGCGGAACATTCGGTGCCTTAGTGCGTTGTGTTTTTTTACATAATCTCCTTTTTTATACCAATGTTATAGAAAATTTACAGCGTGATCGCACTTGTGGACTTGAATGTTTCGAGTAGCAAGGATTATTTGGTCTCTAGCGGAACATAGTTTTAAGGCAAGTAGATACTATTTTCTAAACTAAGGTATTATATATTTATTAAGCACTGGTATGGAATGGCATTTTAATAATATCCTCAATAAATATACAATATAATAATTATAAATTAGGAGAAAGTATAGTTTAAAATAAGGAATAAGACATTTATATAGAGAACTGTAAAATGTTCTTTAGTCCACCTACGTTTAATTATATTATATCTGTTGTGAAGTATAAATGTGATTAAATATAGTTGTTGTATTTACATGTTTTTAAGGCCTATTATAATTATTGGGTAGAGTTTAAACCTAAAAATTGTCATTTATTCTTCGCCACTATAAGGACTATTGTCAGTACCTATATCTTACGGTAGTTCCATTGATACCCAAACGTATGCACTCTCAGATGCGACGTTAAACGTTTAAAAAAAAAACGTATTGCAAAGCGAAGCTCGATGGTCAATCGCCTCTTTTACCTGTACCGAATAAATAAACGATATTTAATGCATTATGATTATTCATTACATCTGATATTAAGCTCATGCTTTTTAAAATATTGAAAAAAAATATCAATAACGCGTCGTATTTTTAATTTTTATGCTCAAAACATATAAATGACAAAAGACGATGAATTATTGTTTTACGAAATAGAACAGAGTATCGCGAGCATTATTATCAGATAAATTTGGCGGATAAGGCCATTAAACGCTATCTTGCTGATAACGTCAGATCTTACGTTATGGAATGTAGAGGGAATTCTAAAAAGAAATATAGTTTCAACAAAGAAAAATTATTTCAAGCATGAAAAAACAACAAAACAAATGCGGATTTTTTTTAAAGAGATAAATTTAATACGTTCCAAATTTTTTAAAAAGTCATTTAGTAGAGTCTAGATGGGAAAGTAAATTGCATATAAAATAATAAACTTTATTATTGCCTAATCCATTATAATTTAAATATACATATCTAAAATATTATAATTTAGATACGCAGACGTAGTTTGAATAAGGAAGCCTGCAAAGGGTTTCTTCAACAATTATTCTTTTTTGTTAAATTTTTTATCGACACAGTATGAATCACGTTATTGACGTAATAATAAAAACGTGATAAGATTCAAGAGGTATTTTGCTTTTTAAAAGGTCAAATGGCTTAAACACGTGAGAGTCAAAGAATTACTGTTGAGTCATATTTATTTAGCATACAAGAAATAGTTTTACCATAAATTCCTCCTAATAATTTATGGGAATGCTTCTTCAAATAAACGTTGTTCTCACATTTCACTCGTCGTACGTTAATACCTCTGTTCTATCTTGTGGTTAAGCACAGAGTATCTTAAGCACAGAGCATAGTAATATAACAGGAAGTCTCACATTGTACCAAAAAGTTAATAAATAACTACGTTTTATGTGTCTATTACGATCTATGCCTCATCCTCCCTTATCTTTGCTCGCTCATATTGTGCCTACCATAATGTAAGTGTAACAACATTCCATTTCTTACAGCGTCTCAAATCCCATTACTCTAAATTTGTTAATCGTTTGTGACGTGTAGGCTTAAATCTCAGTTTAAAATATAGATTCAATAGAGTAATTTATCTAGTTTCAACCGACTTCAAAAAATAGGAGGTTTACGATTAATAGGAATCTTTTTATTTTATGTATGTACACCGATTACTCGAAGACGCCTGGACCGTTTTGGATAATTCTTTTTTTTGTTTCAAAGGGTATATTTCCCAGGTGGTTCTATTTAATTTTTACGGAACTGAGTCGAGCGGTTTAAAAAAAAATCAACAATAGATTATATGTATATTGAAATCGGTTGTACTAAATTATTATTTTACCACTTGTATTCTATAGTATATAGAAATTACTGAGTTAAAATATTATTATAGAATCCATCGCCTATTATATACAGAGTATAACCAAAAATATTATAAGAAAGAAAACTTGTGACGTTCAATACGTTATCAGGACTATTTATTACGAGGCCTATGTTCAGCAGTGACTGACGACGACACTACTAAGTTGTCTAAGTACATAAGAGTTGAGTAGATTATTAGCTGAAAGATTTTTTTATTTGTTATATGAGATTGTATCTCACCTGGTGGTAAGTAATGCTGAAGCCCAAGATGATTAATCGTACTGTCTTAGGCCCGTATTAATAAACGTTACTCAGCTCAAGTACACGCACTTGAGTAATCTTGAGGTTATGATCTTATTAATAAATATATGCGGCTCAAGATGCGGCTGAGGTTTACGATATCAGCTGAGTGACGCACTGATTAAAAAACGAAACTCGACTCTCAAGTGTGTGTACTTGAGTGCAAGTCACAGAACAGTATTCCTAACTACAGTGTTTTGAGATACTGTTTTTATGTGTTTATTAATTAGCAACGATCTTGAGATGCTGATATCACGCACTTGAGTTCGTCGTTGAGTAACGTTTATTAATACGGGCCTTATGCCCAAATACTCAAACGCTACTCGATTTTAAGATGGTCGTAAGTGTCGTGGTGTCACAGTCACTTTGACTTAAAGTGATAGAGATAGCAACAGACTTAACTGTGTCTTAAAATTGAGCAGCGTCTGAACATTTGGGCATTAGTGTAGCAAAAGCCTATTCACTCTTGCTTTAAAGACACCCAGATTGTAATCGGTCGGAAAGACAGACGCCGGTGATTCATCACACTCCTTTGCTGTACGCATTACGAAAGACGAATATTTATGTGTTTATACCCTCTCTCTTCTACTTTACTATCAACTATTTTTTAAATCCACAACTAGAAAAAGGCCTTTTCAAGTATATGCCAACAAGTACGCGTTTTTTTGTAAAAAAAATATTGTACGTAATAAAGAGATTGTCTGGATAAACCGGGAAAAGACTACGCTCAGTATGCAGAAGAGAACTGGCACCACTTTCATTGTTAATGGGAGAATCCATTTAAATGAAAAGAATACCGATAACCGATCCAAGTAAGCTTTAAATGCTTGTGTTGGTAGTACATAGTTCACCACAGAAGTTGAATGGCGCATTCAAACAAGACTCCGTCTTTCTGAGTGTACAGTTTACACTCATAACCATTAACCATACTGTCGCTTAGTGTTAAGAGGTGATAACGCATTTTTATTTTATTTTATTATGGGTAAAATTAATAATAGTCTTCCTTCCGCCCACGTGCATTCAGACGAGATGCAGGTTCTGGTCTTGCAGGCTTGCAGACAGTCAGATAGCAAAGAAGGCTGATAATATGGTCAGTCAGCGTTGATGGCCGACGGTAGCGTTGGCTAGGTAGTTCATATCACAGAATAGATAATAGTACTGCATATCATCGGGATCAAATTGAATATAGGATTATGTATGAATTATGTATTTTAAAAGTTGTAGGTAAGCACGTTCAATGGTTCTCTCGTGTAAAGACACGCGCCCTTGCATACTTTAGTAGTATGTCTGACGTTATTTGAACGATATGGTCCAGCCTGGGAAACGTGCGCGGCTCCAGGTGCGCAGATTAAACTAAGTATAACTCAGTATAGCATAGAAGTAAGGATTTGTTGATTCTAATAATCCTAGAAGGATAGCCCTGTCTGAAACTATAAAACTAATTTCTTTAAAAAAATATACATATTTAGGTAGACGTATTGCATAATTATAATTATTCGTAAGCGCGCATTCAGATGCAACGTTACAGATCTGTCACCCTGTATGGAAAACCAAAAATATTATTTTAAAGTTTGGCCATAATGTGATGTTCCCTGTGCTTTCGACACTGAATTTAAGTTAACCTGGGATCTTTTTGTTTTTAATAAACTTACATTAGATATACAGGTATCTAAAATTAATAACAGGACAATTGAGGGCCTCTGGATGTTTGCAATATCAATTTTCAAAATAACATAAATAGTATTGATTTTGACGACGTAGTCAAATTAGCCTAAAGAAAATTAGCATTGTTATGAGAAAAAATGTTAATATCCGCTCTAATATTAAATTTAATGTGTTATAGCGTTTTGTGACTCCATCCATCGATCCATTGCAACCTATAAAGTACCCTGCTGAACATAGGCTTCTCCCTTACATTGCCTCATAGGGAGGATTTCGCCATCGTTAGCTTGGCGAGCGGGTTGGCAACCACAATGTTTTATTATATTGAATTGTTATTAGAATACTGCTGCCGTGTTTAGTATGTTGAGTCACAGAAAACTGAAGAATAGCTTGTAACGAGACATTCAAACCTATTTATCAGGTGACAACGACTCTATATTTTGATTTTTAATCAAGGGTATGAAATACAACATCCATTATTACCAGCTGGATTATGCTTACAAAAGTCACCCTTACTTCTGAAAAAAAAAATGGAGATTAGATAGCGTTATCAGTGCCAGTGTCACATATCCATTTATCCATTAGCATGGGCAACTCTTGATGATGCTTTATTGAAAAGACCCTCGTCCAGCAGTGGATTTTAAAAAACGGCGACTATGCGATACATATTGTACATATGTGATATTCTTATGTCTGCTTTGACCATGGTGACAGCTTCCGACTAAATTAAATAATACAGTAGTAGCCTTGGATGCAGCGTTAGACTGATGTAGGTACAGGAAACTAGGTGACGAGCGTGCAGTGGGGCGGAGCGTTTGACATGAATAACAACTGCATACTTGTTTCCAGTGGCAGTCGATTAAAATTTTTGCATGCTCTGCTACGCTCAGATACGCTATACTTTACGCTGCGGAGGATACAATCTTAAACACACGCTCTTATCGACCGCCCAAAATGTACTTATACCAAACCACAGAATACATAATAATAGTTGACTAAACACTCCGCTATGCCACACGAAATAATGGAATCCAAAATAATGGAATCCGTTGTAAACTGCCACCTCATGCGGTACCTTGAGGATCACCAGCTGATTAGTGACCGCCAGTACGGTTTTCGTCGGGGTCGATCAGCTGGTGATCTTCTGGTCTACTTAACTCATAGATGGGCGTTGGCAGTAGAGTCCAAGGGGGAGGC